TGGAGGTTGGAGGTTGCAGTGAGCCGAGGCTGAGCCACTGCACTCCAGTCCGGGTGACAGAGTGAGACTCTGTCTCAAACAAAAACAAAAAAATCTTTTTAAAAATCTAAATCTAAAAAACAAAATCTTAAAAAATGTCTAAGGCTTTAAAATTTATTTTTATTTGGGGCAGCCTGCATTCTATACACTAGAATGAAAGCTCCTTCAATTATTAAAAGTATTATTGGATGATGGGAAACAAGAAGCCCACTTGCCACTTCAGAAAAGAATAGCCTTTAAAGCAGTTGACTAACACTTATAAGACCTGAATTTGTCTTATAAATGTTCTCCTTTCCTTTATCTGCACCAATTAAGCATTGGGTAGACTAATCAGCTAAAGAGGGATAGCTAGGTAGACTGCTTTATAAGATGATATTGGGGCAGTCAGCTCTATTATATGATAGTTTAGGAATTTCAATTTGCAGTTATCCACATAAAGAGGAAAGAAAGTCGAGTAGGTCTGCCAAAAGCTACATGATAAACATGATATTGGCACATGGGAATCAAAGCAAAGAATCTCTATCCAAAATATGCTTTGCTTATCATTCCAGATCTGCGTCTGGAGAATTTCAGTAGTTAGACTAAAGACCAACTCAACTGGGTGCAGTGGTTCACGCCTGTAATCCCAGCACTTTGGGTGGCTGAGGCGGGTGGTTCACAAGGTCAGGAGTTTGAGACCAGCCTGGCCAATATGGTGAAATCCCATCTCTACTACAAATATAAAAATTAGCTGGGTGTGGTGGTAGGCGCCTGTAGTCCCAGCTACTCGGGAGGCTAAGGCAGGAGAATCACCTGAACCCAGGAGGCGGAGGTTGTAGTGAGCCGAGATTGGGCTACTGCACTCCAGCCTGGGCGACAGAGTGAGACTGCGTCTCAAAAAAAAAAAAAGTTGTTTTAATCAGTGTGACTGAACCAATATGAATCCAAAAGATCGTGAATGTTCTGATTACATGTATATATAAATTTAATGTAAAGTTTTTGTATCATCCAGCTGAATGCAAAATTATTTTAAATAACTGTTGATAGCCTATACAATGAAGATCACTATTGCCCCCTGGTGGGCATGTTGGGGTCAAACTTTGCTAAGAAATTATGTTTTCATTTAATAGCTATCATTGAAACCCTAGTATAAAATGGACCTTCAAATACAAATTCTCAAACTCTCACAACAACCTCATAAAGTAGGTATTATTATATCCCAGTTTTACTGATAAGTAAACAAGGCACAGAAAAGTATGAAGTCTTCCTAGGGTCAAGCAGCTAGTCAACCAATAATTATTTCAGCACAATTCTGATTCCAAAATTCCCCATATATCACATATTGTTTCTTCTCTTTTACCACACTACCTCTCAATATCAATAGCTTAGTCAAGATCTTTCCTTTGACATTATAGAAACTTAACTAAGGATACTGTTATTTCAAATAAAAGAAACAGAAAAAGAAACCAATAGTCAATTGGAAAATTTATTTAAATGAGGACACAAGTTATTTCATTGTAAAACAAATATCTGTAAAAGGAGATGCTGACTGAAAGGCCAGCGGTGGTGGCTCATGCCTGTAATCCCAGCACTTTGGGAGGCTGAGGTGGGTAGATCACGAGGTCAGGAGATCGAGACTACCCTGGCTAACACGGTGAAACCCCGTCTCTAGTAAAAATACAAAAATTAGCCGGGCGTGGTGGCACGCGCCTGTAGGACCAGCTACCTAGGAGGCTGAGGCAGGAGAATCACTTGAACCCGAGAGGCAGAGGTTGAAGTGAGCCAAGATCATGCCACTGCACTCCAGCCTGGGAAACAGAGCTAGACTCCAACTTGGAGAAAAAAAAAAAGGAGATGCTGAAAATAAATTCATTCATTCTTATTTAGATAGATGGTTTTGTTGAAAACATACAGGTTTCTTTTTTTTTTTTTGAGATGAAGTTTCACTCTCGTTGCCCAGGCTGGAGCGCAATGGCACCATCTTGGCTCACCGCAACCTCCTCCTCCCCAGGTTCAAGCAATTCTCCTGCCTCAGCCTCCCAAGTAGCTGGGATTACAGGCACCCGCCACCACATCCAGCTAATTTTTGTATATTTAGTAGAGATGGGCTTCCATCATGTTGACCAGGATGGTCTTAAACTTCTGACCTCAGGTGATCCACCTGCCTTGGCCTCCCAAAGTGCTGGGACTACAGGCAAGAGGCAGCACGCCGAGTTAAAAACATACAGGTTTCAAAAGATCAACACCAAGTAGTTTTCTCTGCTATTTTCTTTTTATATATGCACTCAAGAACAAATCCAGACTCTTATACTTTATTCAGATAATCACATTTACCTCTTTTATATCAGTACTCCAAAAGCCACTTATGTTTATTCTGCTTTGTTACTGCTTTAAACTATTAATGTTTATTTCCCTTATCAATATCATGTCGGGGCACCTTCATATTTTCATTTTTGGTCTAGGCATAACCCTTCAATAGATTAATCTGTAGAATATTTTCCTTTTTTCTAGAGACAGGGTCTTGCTGTGTCACCCAGGCCGGAGTGCAGTGGCACAATCATAACTCACAGTAAGTCCAACTCCTGAGCTCATGAGATCCTCCCATGTCAGCCTCCTGAGTAGCTGGGACTACAGGTATGCATCATCATGCCCACCTAATTTATTTTTAGTAGAGGATGGGGTCTCTCTATGTTGCCTAGACCAGGGTAGCCTCAAGCAATCTTCCCACCTTGGCCTCCCAAAGCATTGGGATTACAGATATGAGCCACTGTGCCCAAGCCAGAATATTCTACTTTTAACATAATAAGTATTCCTTTGTAACCCCTATGTATGATTTTCCCTTCCCCAGAAAGAATAAGTACCTTAGCTTTAAAATCTATTACAAATCTTCTGCTTTGGCAATATTTTAATTATGGAGTATTAGAAAGGGTATCCATTCATCTCTTGGAAAATCTAGGGTTCTGTTCATTTTTTTTTTTTTTTTTTTTGAGACGGAGTCTCGCTGTGTCGCCCAGGCTGGAGTGCAG